CGGAGGAAATCGTAGGCCAACTTTCAAGGCGGCCTCATAAATAGTAACATACCCAGAAGGTGGATAATACGCTCGATCAGTTGAAGTCGGTAACTTCACTACCATATCGTTCGGGAAGAAATACTTCTTTCGGAAAAAGATCAATTCGCTCTCCGTCACCGTTGACACTGCATCCTCTGGTTTCTGACTTTTCCTCTGGTTCTCAGCAGAACGAGGTTCTCCAGCTGTCTCCATTTTAGTGACGTTTTGCAACTAATATTCACCGCAACGTTTTTGCCACAACGTTGTACCGCACCACTTCGTCACTACGCGTCACCGCAGTTCTGCACCGCAACACTTCGCCGCAACACTTCGCCGTAACTCTTCGCCGCAACACTTCGCTGTAACTCTTCGCCGCAACTCTTTGTTTCGCCACAACGCTTTGCTTCACCGCAACTGTTCGCTCCTCCGCAACTCTTTGCTTCACCGCAACTCTTCGCTTCGCTGCAACGCTTTGCTTTGCCGCAACTGTTCGCTCCTCCGCAACTCTTTGCTTCACCGCAACTCTTCGCTTCGCTGCAACGCTTTGCTTTGCCGCAACTGTTCGCTCCTCCGCAACTCTTTGCTTCACCGCAACTCTTCTCCACAATGCTTCGCTTCGCCGCAACTTTTCTTCGCAACTCTTCGCTCCGCCGCAACTATTCTCCGCAACTCTTCGCTCCGCCGCAGCTATTCTCCGCAACGCAGGATGATTTTCTTCTTCTCCTCGCTTGTGGTTTTTTCCCTTCATCCAATGTCTCTATTTATAGGTGTGAAATGAGACATAGCATTAAATGCACATTAAAAATAAAAAACAGCTGCTCATAAAAAAAAATTAATTTTTTTTTTTTTTATTTATATAAAATATACATGTACATATGTATATACATAATAACTCCTTTATTTATTAATTTTCTGAGAAGAGTCATCCAAGCTCCGTTATATTAATACAAAGCTATTCATTCATATTAATCCTCCGTTACATTAAACTCAGCCCTTAGATTCTTCCTTTATATTAAAGGTAGAGCTCCGTTATATTAATACAAAGCTATTCATTTATATTAATCTTCCGTTACATTAAATTCAGCCCTTAAATTCTTCCTTTATATTAAAGGGAGAGCTCCGTTTTATTAATCTAAAGCTATTCATTCACATTAATCCTCCGTTACATTAAATTCAGCCAGCTATTCATTTAATTAATCCTCCATTCTATTAAATTTCCGAAATTCAGCAAAAATAATATATATATTTTAAATTATATGAATTTTACCCATAAGTAATTGACAATCCATAATGAAAAATTAAAAATACTTAATTGTGATACTAAGATAATTTCAATGAAGAGTTTTAATAACAAAACCACATAATAAAGAAATGTTATGTTAAGAAGAAGCATTCACCAATTTAGAGAAAATAATACCAGATTTGGATGCATTTATGAAAAGATTGCTAGCTTTACTGAAAATATCAAAGACCTCTGATACCCCACCAATAAATTTTCATCATCCGGCACGAATCTCGATGTAGTTTTTTGAACTAGAAACATTCAAACTTTGATCAAGAGTCATCCGGAGCTCCGATTTCAACAAACTTATAGTCAAACTGATCGGCTCGATGAGACGGACCTAATGATATGAAAGCCGGTTCAATCCGAGTCAAATCAAGCCTGGATCAAATCATTAAACCACTATTGGAGAATTTCCGGAAGCATTTGAAAGGTCAAACGAATGTCGAATCTAGTGAATTTAGTGTCAAATCGAGCGTCTCGACAAGACGAATCTAACGAGCCCAATATTGCTCAATTCTGACATCATTAAGGCACTCAAATGTCCATCAAACG